CAGAAAAGGTGATTGAGGCTGAGGAACAAGTCTCTGAACAGCCGAAACCATCCTCGGAATTGACAGCGCTTGCAAAAGTCGAGGAACCAGTGGTTGGGGAACCAAAACCTGCTGAAGAGGAGCTGGTGGCTGATGTAAGCCCTCTAGAGTCCAAAAAGAAATCTGACACCACCGTTTCCTGGGAGGCACTGATTTGTGGTGGCTCTGCTAAAAAGAAGGCTAGAAAAACAAATGAGGATGAAACGCCAGACAAAGGAGAGGAATATGAGAAAACAACTGACTCTCCACTGGGAAGTTCTATTGAGGGTGATTATGATCATCTCACATCATCTAATGAACAAACTGGAAGTCCTGCAGAGGGAGAGATGGGATCCACATGGAAAACATTTAAAAAAATGGTCACCCCAAAAAGAAAGGTCAGAACTGGAGAAAGTAGTACCCCTGAGCAGATACCTTCAGACAGTGAGATGAACAAAGACGAATCATTTTCTATGAAGAAACTTATTCCAGGGCATAAAAAGAGAAAATCAGATGCAAGGAAAGACCAAACATCCTCCGATGAGGGTGCTAAGGATCATGAAACAGGTGATGAAGATGATGAAACCCCAGCTATCATTCCTCTGTCTGAGTATGAAATAATTGAGCCTGAAAGTCTGAAGGAGGTGAATGAACAACGAGTTGAAATCACAATAGAACATGAGATGCCAGAGATGACTTCACAAGTGTTAGAACAGGACACATCTAATAACTTAGTGCCCAAAATTGCAGCTAAAGTTCCAACTAACACTGGACCAACAGTCATACATGGATTATCAGAGGACTTTGAAGAACTTACAGACTTTGTGAGCAAACATCAGCAACTGAGTGATATTCCAGAAGAAGGCATCAATGAGGAAAGCATTGAAACACCAGTATCATCTACTGAGTGGACAACACAGGATGACACCTTAGCTGAGGACATTGTGGAGTTGACAGCTGATGCGGTCACTGCTCCAGAACCAGCAAGTGAACAATTTATTGGGGATGACACTACTGAAATGGTCTCGGCAGTCTCACAACTAACTGAATCTCCCAGGTCATCTGGACATGTTACACCAGTGTCAGCTGAATATGGCATACAAACCTCAGATGTGATCCTACAGGAAGCTTTTCAAACCATTTGCATGACTCCAAGTGTTCAATCAGTCACTACAAAAGATGAAAGCCAAGAATCTCTGGCCGTGTCATTTTCACCTTATATTGTACAGTCATCCACAACAGAGGAAACAAAGGTTTTGGTTGCGCATAAGAAAACTGAGGCAACAGCAATGTGTACAGGCCTAGCATCTCAAGAAATAGAATCTGTTGAAGAACATCTCCCTGTACCCTTTGTGGAGGCAATACCTGAAGTATGTGATGCTGTCCCAACTGAATTAGTCTCTGATAACTTTACAGATGAAACTGAAACTGCAGGATGTGGGACAGATGAGGTCTATGAAGCTGAAATTAAGGAAGTGAAGACTGAGTATCAGAAAGTAATTGTAAATGAAAAAGAATCTGCCACTGAAACTGAGCTAAGCGCAGAGCAAGTCATTCAATTAGTGGCAGAGCCTCTTGTGGAAGAATCAGAGGAAACTCATATAGAAGACAAAAAAGAGGAACATACAACTAGTACTGAATGCAGAGAGGTGATTGAGACGATGCAAAGTGAAGCTGGGCTGGATCAGGTTTTATCAGACTACACCCATGATCCTGAAACAGAGTGTCCACTGCATTCTGTGTTAGAGGAACCTGTGTATGAAGGACAAGTAGCTGCTGAACCTGAAAAAGAGCTGACGCCCTTAGATATTGAATTGTCAGCTTCTGAGTTTGAGCAAGCTGCACCCACGGAAGTAGTTGTGTCTTTGACACATGGTGATGTAGACAGCATTCCTGACACTACCACAAGTAAAGAAGTCAAAGAAATTGAAATCATTGCCTCTGCTGTGGAGTGTCTGGAAACCAAAGAGGCCGTTAGTATTGTAAGTCCAATTTCAGATCACATACAGTCAGAGACATTGGATTTAGAAGAGAGTTTAAAATTAGAAGCAGTTGAATCAGTACACGTTGATGTCTGTGAAACAAAAGTTGACGTAAAAGATGGAGTCTTATTAGCAGGTGATTCAGTGGTGACTGTGGAGGACATCAGTGAGAAAACAGAAGAAAATGATTATGAAAAAATGGCACAGCTGGACATTAAGGAAATACATATAGAAGAAGAGACTGGGGATGCTGTTGTTTCAGACGTTGTTGAAAATATTGAGGTTGAAAATACTTCAGAAGCTGTAGATGAATCATTAGACAGAGAACAGTTGCCAGCCAAGGAGGTGTCACTTCCAAAACCAGCATTAGTTGAAGAGACTGAAGAGCTCCATAAAGAAGACATTGATACAAATTTGGATGATAACAAAGTGAAAGACAGTGCAACTGACAGAATGGATGGGATATTTGTGAAAGAGGAAGAGGAACATGCAGTAAAGGAAGGGCAACCTTTAACAAACACTGAAAGCAATGAAACAGAGAATGAAGATGTTTCTGCTCACACAAATACTACTGATGAATCTCCTGAAATAATCGTTGATGCAGGAAGTGAAAATGGAGACATGGTTCATGAAATAAGAGAACGCACAGTTGTTCCTGAGTTTTCAAAAGATGTACCTGAGTGCACAGAAACACCAGCCAAGCTTGAAGCTAGTTCTGAAGTCATACTGAAACCTCTAGAGATGGTGTCGCCAGAAGTAGAAGCAAAACCTTTAGCAACAGAAATTGTGGTTTCTCAAACAGAAGACTGGAGTCAAGATACCAAACCAAGTCCAGAGATTCCCAAAGAGAATGCACAACCAGTGACAACTGAGAATATTAAGATTGGTAAAGTTTTAGAGATGGTTGCCATTATAGAGAACACAACAAAACAGTCTGGTAAAGAGAAGCCTATAGAGTCTGAACCTGTTACACAGGTTCTCGAAAAATCTAAGCTACCAAAGGCAACAGAACAAGAGGGTGAAGCAATAGATGGTGACCAGGCCCCAGCAATGACATCATCAGAAATGAAAGATATGGCAGTTCCAGAAAAAAAACATACAATGGCTGTTGCTCCCAAACCAGAACCTGAAGGGTTTGATTCGGGGCCGACTATGATTGAAGTGGCTGCAATCACAGTGCTGGCACAAAATTATACTGCTACAGAAATAGAGGTTAGTAATATGAGCGAACAGAACAATGAAGCAGATGAAAACGCTAGGCTAAAATGTGAACCTCTTGAACAGGTAACAGAAAAGAAGTCAAATGAGTTGCAAGTAGACAAGACCGAAATTAAAGATGAAATACCAGCAGTAATGGAAATAACCCCCATTGCACAGGTATCACCACTGACCTCTGAAGTTGCATCAGAAATGCCAGAAGTTGCTGTTTCTGAGATACAAACACAAGTAGTGAGTGAACTCAGGGCTGAGTCGCTTGAATTGACAGAAGCAATTGTAGAAATTCCAGTGGTAACAGAAGTGAAAGTAGAGACCGCTGTAGGAACTGAACTGCAAGTGGAGACACCAGTTGTCACATCAGTGGTTACAGAACTTGAAGTAGAAACACCAGAGGTTACATCTATGGCAAAAACAACTGATACTCTCAATTCTGCTGTTGCGTCACAAAATCAAAACATAGATACTGACACATCAGTGTTGACAACAGTGATCAAAGAACAAGTGGTGGAGATTCCCACTGTTGTTTCTGTGGTAGTGACACCAGCTACACCTCTAGATGAAACACCCGTTGTAACTCTAGGCAATGAGTCAAAGGATATACCTCCAGTAAAAGACACACCTGCTGTGACTGAAGCAGTAGAAACACCAAATGTTGAATCAGTGATTGTGAGGACTGCTGTGGCCCCAGCAGTAGAGATACATAATGTGATTCCAGTGGTAGCAACACCAGATCTTGGTTCAGTAATAGTAATAGAAGCTGCATTTCCAGTAATAAGTACAGCAACAGTGACTACAGTAGCAGAAGCAACAGTTTTGAGCACAGTTGTAGAAACACCTGTTTTTTCTGTCACAGCAGTAAAATCTTCTCCAGCTGTGGTAGAGAAAACAGCTGTTTCACCTGTAGTAGAAATCCCAGCCACAGTAACATCTATTGTGCAGACTCCAGCTGTTGTTTCAGTGGCAGAGAATGTACCTCCAGAAGAGGTTACACTAGATGTGACCCCATTTGCAGAAACACCTGTGAGCCAAGTAATTGAAACTCCCATTGTTTCCATCACTTCAGTAAAACCAACTGTACCTGCAGTGACAAAGACACCAGTCACTGAGATACCAGCTATGATTTCAGTGACAGTAGCAGAAGCTGTATCTCCTGTAGTAGTTACATCAGCTGGAACTCCAGTAGAACCAGAAACAATTATGATCCCAGAAGTAGAAACTTCAGTAGTAACTTCAACTGTAGAGACATCACTTGTGACACTAGTGGTACAAACACCAGCTCAGATTTCAATAATTGCAACAGATGCAGGACCTCCAGTTACACCACCAGCAACTGCAGCATCAGAAACATCAGCTGTGATCCCAGCTGTAGAAACTCCTGTTGTAAAGTCATCTCCAGTTGCAGTGGATGAGACTCCAGTTGTGACCCCAGTGGTACAGACACCAGGTCAGGTTTCAGTGATGGTAACAAAGACTGTCCCTCCGCCAGTTGTTTCAGCAGAGACTGCAGAGGTAGAAACATCTGTTGAGATCCCAGTACTAGAAACTCCCGTTGTAAGGTCAACTCCAGTTGCAGTGGTTGAGACACCAGTTGTGACCCCAGTGGTACAGACACCAGGCCAGGTTTCAGTTATGGTAACAGAAACTGCCCCTCCAGTAGTTGTTACTGCAGTGACTGCAACAGTAGAAACACCTGTTGTGATTCCAGTAGTAGAAACACCTGTTGTAAAGTCAACTGCAGTTGCAGTGGTTGAGACACCAGTGATGACCCCAGTGTAGGAACTGAACTGCAAGTGGAGACACCAGTTGTCACATCAGTGGTTACAGAACTTGAAGTAGAAACACCAGAGGTTACATCTATGGCAAAAACAACTGATACTCTCAATTCTGCTGTTGCGTCACAAAATCAAAACATAGATACTGACACATCAGTGTTGACAACAGTGATCAAAGAACAAGTGGTGGAGATTCCCACTGTTGTTTCTGTGGTAGTGACACCAGCTACACCTCTAGATGAAACACCCGTTGTAACTCTAGGCAATGAGTCAAAGGATATACCTCCAGTAAAAGACACACCTGCTGTGACTGAAGCAGTAGAAACACCAAATGTTGAATCAGTGATTGTGAGGACTGCTGTGGCCCCAGCAGTAGAGATACATAATGTGATTCCAGTGGTAGCAACACCAGATCTTGGTTCAGTAATAGTAATAGAAGCTGCATTTCCAGTAATAAGTACAGCAACAGTGACTACAGTAGCAGAAGCAACAGTTTTGAGCACAGTTGTAGAAACACCTGTTTTTTCTGTCACAGCAGTAAAATCTTCTCCAGCTGTGGTAGAGAAAACAGCTGTTTCACCTGTAGTAGAAATCCCAGCCACAGTAACATCTATTGTGCAGACTCCAGCTGTTGTTTCAGTGGCAGAGAATGTACCTCCAGAAGAGGTTACACTAGATGTGACCCCATTTGCAGAAACACCTGTGAGCCAAGTAATTGAAACTCCCATTGTTTCCATCACTTCAGTAAAACCAACTGTACCTGCAGTGACAAAGACACCAGTCACTGAGATACCAGCTATGATTTCAGTGACAGTAGCAGAAGCTGTATCTCCTGTAGTAGTTACATCAGCTGGAACTCCAGTAGAACCAGAAACAATTATGATCCCAGAAGTAGAAACTTCAGTAGTAACTTCAACTGTAGAGACATCACTTGTGACACTAGTGGTACAAACACCAGCTCAGATTTCAATAATTGCAACAGATGCAGGACCTCCAGTTACACCACCAGCAACTGCAGCATCAGAAACATCAGCTGTGATCCCAGCTGTAGAAACTCCTGTTGTAAAGTCATCTCCAGTTGCAGTGGATGAGACTCCAGTTGTGACCCCAGTGGTACAGACACCAGGTCAGGTTTCAGTGATGGTAACAAAGACTGTCCCTCCGCCAGTTGTTTCAGCAGAGACTGCAGAGGTAGAAACATCTGTTGAGATCCCAGTACTAGAAACTCCCGTTGTAAGGTCAACTCCAGTTGCAGTGGTTGAGACACCAGTTGTGACCCCAGTGGTACAGACACCAGGTCAGGTTTCAGTGATGGTAACAGAGATTGCACCTCCAGTAGCTGTTTCAGCAGTGGCTGCAACAGTAGAAACACCTGTTATGATCCCAGTAGTAGAAAGCCCATTAGTAAAGCCAGCACCAGTTGCAGTGGTTGAGACACCAGTTGTGACCCCAGTGGTACAGACACCAGGCCAGGTTTCAGTTATGGTAACAGAAACTGCCCCTCCAGTAGTTGTTACTGCAGTGACTGCAACAGTAGAAACACCTGTTGTGATTCCAGTAGTAGAAACACCTGTTGTAAAGTCAACTGCAGTTGCAGTGGTTGAGACACCAGTGATGACCCCAGTGGTACAGACACCAGGTCAGGTTTCAGTGATGGTAACAGAGATTGCACCTCCAGTAGCTGTTTCAGCAGTGGCTGCAACAGTAGAAACACCTGTTATGATCCCAGTAGTAGAAAGCCCATTAGTAAAGCCAGCACCAGTTGCAGTGGTTGAGACACCAGTTTTGACTCCAGTGGCACAGACACCATGTCAGGTTTTAGTGGCAGTAACAGAGGCTGCACCTCCAGTAGTTGTTTCAACAGTGACTGCAGCAGCAGAAACACCTGCTGTGATCCCAGTAGTGGAAACTCCAACTCCAGTTGTTGTGGCAGAGACACCAGTTGTAACCCCAGTGATGATGACACCAACTATGATTCCAATAGCGGAAAGGTCAGTTGTGAGCCTAGTAATAGAAACTACTGCAGAAGCGCCAACTGCAATTGCAATGGCAATGGCAGAGAGACCTGTTATGATCCCAGTGGTACAGACACCAGCTCTGGTTTCAGTGATTGCAAAAGAGGCTGCACCTCCAGTAATTCTACCAGCAGAGACTGCAGGAGCAGAAACATCAGTTGTGAGCCCAACAGTAAAGGTAAACCCACCGGTGGCAGAGACACCAGTTCCAGCAGCAGAAGCACCTTCTGTGATCCCAGCAGTACAAACACCAGTTGCAGAACAGGTAGCACAGACACCAACAACAGCAGCCATGCCCTTGGTAAAGGCAACATCATTTGTGACTGGGATGGAGGCACCCGCTGTGACTACAGTAGCCCCTTTGATGATGATACCAGCTATTACCCCAGTTGTAGCTCCACCTGTTGTGACACCAGAAGTAAAGAAAGCAATGTTGCAGGTAGTTGAACAGGAGAAAAAGGAAGCAAAGGCAGAGGCTTCAGTTGTGTCTAAAGATGTTGAACCACCATTTTTGGTTGCGAAAGAGGTAAAGACATCAGTTTTAACTGAAGAGTGTGTATCAGATGAAGAAAATAGGAAGGCTTCCTTGCAGCATGAGCCTGTGGTTACTTCAACAGAACCTCAGTCAGAGGTAGAGGAGGATGTGTGGGAGGATGCTGTAGATAATATTGGAGATTCCCCGTGCCAGATGACATACACAGAGGGTGCACCCCAAGATACTGCTGCTAAACAAGCATCTGATGCTGCAATTTGATAGTGGCGTGCTAAACCAGTTGAAAGATTTGAATGAGTTGGTAAGTGATTTTATAATATTGCATTCATTTATCAGTCATTTTTGTTGTCAGATTCATAACATTCATAACACTGATTTGATCATTTCAGGTGCAAGTTTAACAAGGAAAATTCAGAACATTTTACACCTGGAAGAGGCTGTGCTCAGCACAAAATCAGCTGGGACTCTCTCAACAAAGAAATGACTGAACCACTGAGAAGTAAAATTGGATCATTAAAGTTCCATTAAGCAAAACTGAAACCAAAAACAGTAGTTATTCAGTGGACAGGCTGTTCTTTGACCAATCACTACATTTTTACATTTTACTTTGATGCAGAAAATATTTCAACATATGTAACCCTTCAAAAGCAGCTATTTTGTCAAATTTTTACTAAGGATATTTGTCAATGTATGAATTTTTTATCCTGATTCAGACATCAGCGTAAGTTTATGCCACATTATATCATGTTGTATTACATATCTAAAACAAAAGGTTAAAATGTTAAAATATAAAACATTTGTACACATGCATTATATCCTGACCGTTTGCCATGTTTAGCATAAGAAAATAATTGTCATTGTGGAAGGACGTGCAATGCCTGGTATTTAAAGATATGTACTAAATCAAAGGTAATTTTGTTTTGAACCACCATATGCCTCTACATATGATATACATCAAGAAGGAATTTATTTTATACTCTAAATATGATGTACACTTTACCAAAGCTATAATGAGCAAATCACAATAATGCTTTATCAAAGAGAGGTTTAGACAGAATTCAGTCAGATGTAGTCAATGACTGAAAATAACAGATTGTTTTAATTTGTTTTACAAAGAACAGTCAAAATCTTATCAAATTCATGATTTATTTTTTGTTGCCATATAACAGTTACAAATTATTTTTTTAATTTTCCATTTTAATTTAACAGAAAATATTTGACTAAAGTTTTGCCATAAAAATGTAAGCATGCAAACTAAAGTTGGAATTACTGGCTTTTCCCCATGTGTGTTTTCCCCCCAGAGGAGCACTTCACATATATAAATGTTCTGCGTAATGATCAATACACTTTGTAGTACTGCATATTATCATTAAACAGTTTAGCATTTTTGTTATTATACAAGCTGCCTTGCCTGTTTTAAGGGCATGTGCATCTGGCCTGATAAAATAAGCCATTGCAGTATTGAAATCAAAATTTTAACTTATTCTAATATATTGCTAAGTGTTTGAAACCATCTGTACAGACTGATTATACAGACTATGCATCTTTGAAGAAATTGCAATATTAACAATCAATTAAATACAAGTGTAGTATTGTTCCTGGATTTTGAGACATTTAAACATGTATGGTTTAATACAATTTATAATTTCAGGTTTTATTTAAATAAAAGAAACTACCCATTTTTGACTTATGATTTATGAAAAGTTGATGTCCAGCACACCAATACCATTGTTATTTCATTTGACGAATGGATGAAAGACAAATTGATAAAATGCTTATTTATTTTCTACTTTGTGCAATGTAGGATATTTTAAAGCGGCAACTCAGAAGTGTTTCTGATGGGAAACATTAAATATAGTATTTGCAGTTTATTAGTTTCAAATATATTCACAAATTACCTACCAATAGAAAACAAAATTAAAATAATGCAGTGGACCTTTAAAAAAAAAAATTTAATTCTCTCTTAGTTTATAACAAACTCATGAAAATGGTTAAATACTGGCACTGAAATAAACTAATACTGCTTTAGACATTTGACATTTTAAGAAAGAATGGTTACTTCAGGAGTAGTTGTCTCGAAGTCCTTGTTTTGACTTTCCCCTAGTGAATTTTCTGCCAATGGTACCGCTTCACTCTCAGTCAAACACTGATGTTTGGGAACCTCAGAAAGACTTGCAAAATGTGCTGTGCACATGCTGCATTTATAGGGTCTTTCCGAAGACTGGAAGAGAGCTTCTACCTGACTGTTGTCTTCTCCACCACACAGAACCAAACTCTGCTTGTTGACCATAATGTACGAGTCTGTGTCCGGACTCAAACAAACGTGTCGAGCAGCTTGATTGGCTCTGCAGAAGTTCTTTCCGCAAGCACTACACTTATATGGCTTTCCAGTGTGAATGTACATGTGCTCACGCCAGTGGCTCTTCTGAATAAACTTGCGAGCACAGGTTGGACACTCGAATTTTCGGCGTTTCATTTCACGACCCATCTCGGTGCCCTCCAAGTTGTCTATATCAGCAATTTCAGAGGGCGGCGGGGTGTCTTCCATCCACACCTGTTGATCGGTATCACTAATAACATCACTGTCAGCACGCAAATGGTCCTCTTCCATATCCTGAACTTCAAGATCAATAGTGTGACCATTTTGCATAGACAACACCTGTGGCTCAGTTGCTTGGTTGGTGTGGACAAGGAGATGTTCCTTCAACTTGCACCTCTGGTTAAAACGGATTCCACAGTAATTGCAGGTGTAATGCTTTCGGGAGGAAGCACTCTTACTCATTATGCCATATGTGAGGTGGTGGACCATTGTGGCTGCTGGGTTTTGGGTGGGTGACTCTATGCCAACGGGTTGTGGAGATCTATAATCCATATCAGAAATTTCCAAAAATTCTCGGCTAACCTTTTCACCATTTTTAGCACCATCCTTGCATTTTGTATTTCTTTCAGGCCGGCTGTATGTCTGATCAGGTATCTGTATGCCATAAAGTGAGTTTGTCAAAGGTACATACTGGGACTCAGGGTTTATAAGAAGACTTGCCTCCTGTAATAAAGGGTAAGCATGCAGGAATTTTACACCCTGCTCAAGGCGAAGAGGGTCAATGGGCTGTGAGGTGAATTTTCCAGTGTACATTAAGTTAAGCAAGTAGCTGAAGATATCTGCTTGTATGTCTGAAGGCTTCAGTCGAACACAGTCACTGCAAAAAATAACCATAAAGAATCATTTAATAACAAAGTACTGCAAATGCGAATGAAGAACTTTTTTGCAGTGGCGTTTGTGGTACCTGTCTTGATGGATAAACAGCATACGGAAGTAGTTTGAGAATGCTGCAAGAACAGCTTTGTGGGCTTTGAAAAGAACATCCCCAATGGCCACAGTACAGTCACAGAGGAAACCAAACTCTCTCTGAGCATTGAGGCGCTTAAGGAGAACAAGACCATGATGGGCCAAGTCCATTTTTCTCCACCTAAACACACAAATGAAAAGTAAATCATAACATTTTCAGTAGGTTATTCTTGATAAATTCCTTGCACACCTTAAATATGCATTTTGGTCACCAAAACTACATTTATCAGATACAGAACATTTATGTGTGTACTTGACCATTTGTAAAAAAAAAAAAACACAACAACAAAAAATAAATAAATTCTGGCCAATATATATTTCAAATACAGTATATGGTAAATATATGTTGGAAACATATATATATACACATACATGTATAAATTAGAACTGTGAAATTGGTATGTGTATATGCATACTGTGTAGTGTGTATATACATATTTTTATTTATTTACCTTTTCTGGTTGATTATTTGTTTGTGAATGTATTATGTGTTTGCTGTAAGTTTGTGTTAACATAGCATGTTAGTGTTGTTGAATTTTGTTATGCAAATATAAAAGAAATAAAAAAAAATAAAAAAATATATCTGTTGGAAACTGAGATAAATTAATTATATATTTGAAATTAAAAAATGTAAAACATTTCAGAGGCAAGAAAATATTTTCCCCCCAATCTTACAGTAGCATACATTTAGGATAAATGCAAATGTGGATGGAATAGCCTAAAAAAAAGAATCCCCCCCACATGTGACATGTGAATGTAATTTCTTGGATTTAAATATATGGAGGGCAACATACTATTTTAAATGCTTTTGAAAAATAAATGTACATTTAAAAAAAAAAAAAAAATGTTTATGCAAATATATTTTGAATCATACGTAAATATTTTTCGCCATTTTTTATTTTGCACATAGATTTTTGTGGATATACATACTTATAATTAAAAATATATATTTTTGGAGTATAGTTTCTCTATACTTGTGAGTGTATCAATATTTCTAACAATAATCTCACAAATGCAATAAAAACCTACTCATGATGATGACATTACTCACTTGCAAAAAAATACCTGTATGTACATAATGTACTATTTCGCGTGTAAACTAGCAGTAGCGTGGTTTCAGTGTCTAAATAGGTTTTGAGGCAACTAATAAGAGTGTGTTTGTAACGGTGTGTGTTTGCGTGTCGAAGCCCCGCCCATTCGGGTGAATTCAACAGTACAAGTTTCCGCGGACAAAATAGGAAACACGCGCTCACGCAATGAACTCAATAAAATAACGACACACTTTAAACGAGCGAAAGAAAATCACACCAACGAACAGAGAAATTAAAAAGGTTAATCTTCCGATAAGCGAAAGCAATGCCAAGAAGAAAACTGTCAAAACATGAATCATTTTCGGTCAAGAACCGTGAGTAATCGATAGTGTCCATCGTTACCAGGGTAAAAACAAGCCGACAACCGGTTTATGAAACACTTGTTTGAAACAAAACCTTTAAAGGCGTCACTTACCGTCTCCTCTTTCTCGACAGAACTCGAATGCCGTTGAGTTTGCTGGCTGAAAAGCGGAGGAAACCTCTTCACCGAGCAGCAGTACGAGCTCAGTCAGTGTCCGCTGCCGTGTTCCGGAGGGTTTGAATCACATGACTTGAGCGCGCGGCGCATCGAACGGCTGTCAATCAATCAATCAACCGAATAAGAACATTAATAAGAACGTCGGCATGACGTCATGATGGATTTGTTAGCGGGTTCATTTGAGCAGCATTTTTTTTTATAACTAGTGATATGATGAATACATGCATGAAATGTAAAACAGCCTTCTGGAAAATCAAGTTTATGAAAAAATGATGACTAAGCTTATGAAAAAAAGAGCCTCTGACACTTGCATTCGCTATTCTTTTGACTTGTTTTATTTATTTATTTTAAAAAGACCCTCTAACACTAGTGTTCCATGTTCCAAAAAAAAAAAAAAAAAAAAAAAAAAAAAATCAGCTTGTAAAGTAAAATATTATTTGAGAAATTTTAGCACTATTGGAGAGTGTGTAAGCACAACCCAATTACAAAACCAAGTTCAATGCCATTGGCAGCATGGCAGCATGTGAAGAGTTACTCAAGCTCATTTATAAGTTCCATAACACAGCTATCAGCTTATTTCACAGCAGGGCTCGAGTCATTTCAGGACATCTATTCAATACTGATTTCTATCCCACAACTTTCTGAAAAGGAGCCAAAACAGAAACCAAATGAGCCACTATTCATCTGATCCTTCTAAAAAAAAAACTTTATTTCAGATCAGTGTCACATTAAGAATAGCAAAAGATCAGATGACTGATCAACGAGTATTGAACAAAATGATTTGCTGGTTTACAAAACGTCACTGTATGCCATCATAAGTGTATCTGTGGGTCCTCAGAAGATTACACGAGCAAGTTCAAACATCACCTTTAGACGGAAGAAAATAAGAAATATGTTTTGCATTAAATTTGCAAAATGTGTACCTTAAAACAAATTTTGAGGACATACATAATATGATGTAGACATTTTACATAGCATTTTTTGACAGTGCAGCTGAAATGTCTATTAGATCTATTGTTAAAACCCCCCAAACACTAGTGTTCCATTTTCAAAAAAAAAAAAAAAAAAAAAAAAAAAAAATCAGCTTGTAAAGTAAAATATTATTTGAGAAATTTTAGCACTATTGGAGAGTGTGTAAGCACAACCCAATTACAAAACCAAGTTCAATGCCATTGGCAGCATGGCAGCATGTGAAGAGTTACTCAAGCTCATTTATAAGTTCCATAACACAGCTATCAGCTTATTTCACAGCAGGGCTCGAGTCATTTCAGGACATCTATTCAATACTGATTTCTATCCCACAACTTTCTGAAAAGGAGCCAAAACAGAAACCAAATGAGCCACTATTCATCTGATCCTTCTAAAAAAAAAAACTTTATTTCAGATCAGTGTCACATTAAGAATAGCAAAAGATCAGATGACTGATCAACGAGTATTGAACAAAATGATTTGCTGGTTTACAAAACGTCACTGTATGCCATCATATGTGTATCTGTGGGTCCTCAGAAGATTACACGAGCAAGTTCAAACATCACCTTTAGACGGAAGAAAATAAGAAATATGTTTTGCATTAAATTTGCAAAATGTGTACCTTAAAACAAATTTTGAGGACATGCATAATATGATGTAGACATTTTACATAGCATTTTTTGACAGTGCAGCTGAAATGTCTATTAGATCTATTGTTTATTATTTAAACTGGTGTTCAAAATGAAAGTTCGCATGAATACAGTTGATATCAGGGTTTACTAACCTCAATGGTGATCAGTATGACAATCATCCACTCCAGTCTGAGACTGTGTTTCTCACTGAGGTGATTCCTCATCAGGTCTGTTAGTTCAGTGCAGTGCTGTAACTTCTCGTTCACAACCTACAAATAAAACAGTGCGCTAGGATCAATGCATTTTGTCAGGATATTCATATCATGTCTTTTAAAGGAATAATTCACCCAAAAATGAAAATTAGCTGAAAATTAATTTACTCACCCTCAGGTCATCCAAGATGTAGATGAATTTGTTTCTTGATGAGAACAGATTTGTAAATTTAGTATTACATCAATTACTCACCTCTGCAGTGAATGGGTGCCATCAGAATGAGAGTCCAAACAGCTGATAAAAACATCACAATAATCCACACAACTCCAGTCCATCAATTAACATCTTGTGAAGCCAAAAGATGCATGTGTGGAAGAAACAAATTCATCATTAAGATGTTTTAAAGGGGTCATATGATGCTGCTAAAAAAACATTATTTTGTGTATTTGGTGTAATGAAATGTGTTTATGCGGTTTAAGGTTCAAAAAACACATTATTTGCCACATACTGTACATTATTGTTTCTCCTCTATGCCCTGCCTTTCTGAAACACGTTGATTTTTACAAAGCTCATCAGTCTGAAAAGCAAGGTGTGCTCTGATTGGCCAGCTATCCAGTGCGTTGTGATTGGCCGAATACCTCAAGCGTGTGACGGAAATGTTACACCCCTCACCATACTGTGATGCCCTGTCCGGCCAGAGTATAATATAAAACCATGTCTGCATTTGTGATCGGAGAAATGACAAACAACAAGCCCTACTCTACACTGCCCAAAAAACTCACGTTTGAATCGTCAGTGGCAAATTCTTTAAATATAAAAAACGTACTTGCAGTCTGTGAGTCAGAACAGCCGGCATTGTAGTCTACTCTTCCAGGATCAGGAAACAGTCCTCCATAAAATGTGCTGCACACATCTGAATATTTGGGTTGAAGTGTTCTGGAACAGTGTTGTAAATACAA